CTCTTCACCATTTGAAAAGGTGCACTCAGATATATAGGGACCTTATTCGGTAAAGATAGTAGAAGGGCATAGGTACTATGTAACATTTGTTGATCAATATACAAAGTATGTTTGGATTTTCCCAATGTATAACAAATTAGATGTGTATACGATTTTTGTGAAATTCTATAGCTTTATTTATACACAGTTTGGGGTTGCTCTTAAATATTTACAATCTAATGGAGGAGGAGAATACACTAGTCATTCTTTTAAAGCTTTTCTTGCTGAAAAAGGGATTGAACAGATGATTTCCTGTCCATACACACCCCAATAGACTGGGGTAGTTGAACGAAAACATAGGCATATAGTAGAAACTACCATTACTATTCTTCTTCAAGCTGGATTGTCTATTGAATTTTGGTATTATGCCTGTGCACATGCTGTGTTTTTAATTAACAGAATGCCTTATAGAGTGTTGTCCATGGATTCAGCTTACAAGAGATTATATGGTAAGGATCCAGAGTTGAAAACTTGAAAATGTTTAGATCAGCAATGTATCCTTGGTTAAGACCATATTCTGCACATAAGTTATAGTCGAGGTTTGAGCAATGTGTCTTCTTAGGTTACTCCATGGGATATAAAAGGGTAATTTGCTACAATGTTAAGACTAGGAAATGCATCATTTCAAGACATGTTGTTTTTTATGAAAGTGTGTTTCCTTATACATAATTGCATTCTAGAGTAACAATGAATGAAGTCACTCAGGATCAATCTCAGTGTAAAACTGTAGTGGTACCTATTCCAATACAACACAGAGTTACAGATCATAGAAATTCAGTTTATTCAGAGGGTAATATGGAGTCCCTTTCTAGTACTGATATTGTACATGAGTCATCATTATCTGCAACTTATTATGATACTCATATGTCAAGGTCTTCTTCAAACATGGGCAGTCATTTAGTGCAAGTTAAGACTGAAATGCAGGGATTTAAAACTCAACCATCAACAACAACTCTTTCCTCATCTCAACACACAGGTTCTTTACTTCCTGTCCTTGACTCTGCCCAACTTCAGGTAATTATTCCTTTGTCTCCACAACATATACAGTGTGCATCACAAACACAAGGCAATATTATTCAAACTAGACTCAAGACTGGTGCTATTCAAAGGAAAGACTACAAATCATTTCTAGCTGAATTACTTGAATTATCATCTCTTTAGTTTTTAGATGTTGCTCATGAGGATAACAATGATCATATATCATGTGGATTTTCTTTTTTGGCTGACATCCATGAAATAGATGAACGAAAGAACTTTAGAGCTGCATCATCTGTTGTGCAATGGTAAAAAGCCATGCAGGAGGAGTATTATGCTCTAAAGGCGCAGGGTACTTGGAAACTTGTTCCTCTTCCAAGTGATAAAGCTGTAATAGGAAGTAAATGGGTTTATAAAGTCAAGAGGAACCCTGATGGGATAGTATCAAGATACAAGGCTCGACTAGTCGCACAAGGTTTCAGTCACGAACAAGGGTTGGATTATTTTGAGACTTTTAGTCTGGTTGTTCAACATTCAACTGTAAGGCTTATTTTAGCATTAGCATCACAATTCAGTTGGAATTTAAGATAGCTTGACATTAAATTAAAACCGAGTTTCACCAAACAAAAAATAAACATAATTAAGATCCTTAAACAGTGGAGCTAACCAATTGATCAAGTTTTGATTCTTCTTGCGTTTTCATACATAGATGAAATGCTGATGATTCAAAAACTTACACAAATAATTAAACATACATTTTAACTAAATTTTAACTAGTCTATTAATTAATTTATTAAATGCTGACATGACTTGTGCTTTTATGTACTCAACATAGACAACTTGTTCTTGTAGATCATAGAAAGTTTATTAAGAACAATTAAGATTGTACATAGGGTAGACATGCAAATGTAACCAAGAGGTCAAACATGTCAAAAGAAGCACCACAACTTCACAATTAAAAATTCATCAAGAATACGATATAGTTCCTTAGCTACAGAGAACCCACTACCAACCAACATGGAAGATGACACTTGTATGGACTAAACTTGCAAGTTGTAGAACTACCTGTAAAGGCAAGCCACGAGGAAAGAATGCGTCACCCTATGATGATCTTGCAATCCTCAGCAAAAAGCACCAATATAAGTCATACCTTCTACTAATATCGAGCTTTCTTGAGCTTCCTCCTCACATATAGTTCTTTGTCATGCGCACAAAAACTACCACTCATAAGGAAGGTTGATCAACTCTGAACAATTAATATCAGCGCTCAATAATTCAAGTTTGAGCAGTAAGCCTAAGACATAGGCTTTACAAAGACCCTTAAACAAATTGAGAGAGTGATCACAACCATGAAAACTCTCCTTGCCAAAGAAAAAACTTGGCCACTAGGAGATGATACTAGAGGAGAAAAATTGAGGGGATGAGAGGAAGAGACCAAGAAGGTTTGTTGCTAACCCCAAAGACTAAAACAATGAGTCAACAACAATGTTTTTTTTTTTGTTCTTACTATTCTCTCTTGCGATTAGGTTTTTCTTTTAAAATTTTTTGATAAGAAACCAAAATCACTAAATTATAATCGAATTACAATTGAACGCGCGTGTTATTTTTAGGGTAATTTTTTTTTTGTAAAATCAATAAATTAAATGTTATGATATTAATAATAATATCAATCAAATTTATTCTAAGGCTTTTTAGCTAAAATGGTCCATGAGAAATGAAATCGATATAATTGGCCTCTGAGTTTGTCCCATCAATAATTTTGGTCATTCCGTGAAAGATTTCTATTATATAAGAATATAATGACAAAAATACCCTCAATTTTTGTCAAATCATTTTGGTCTATTGTTTATTAGATTGAGGGTATTTTGTCACTTTGATCTTTGTTTAACATAATTTTTCACGGAATGACCAAAATGATTGATGTGGACAATCTCAGGATCCACTTATATTGATTTCAAATCTCAGATACCAAAGTGAGAAATTATGCAAATCTCAGGGACCATTTTAGCTAAAAAGCCTTATTCTAATTATACATGGGTCAATGAGACTTTGAGGTACACTATAACACCTCAAAAACTTATTAATTCATGCCACTATAGCTGGTAGCGTGCAAATTCTTTTATTTCAAATCAGGTCAATACCACACATCACTCACGCGTCTCCTACGCGTCACACCTTGCGCGACTTTGTTGATTAAAACTCTGTGTTGCAGTGTCAATTTCATGGTTTTGTTGTTTACATTTGAATTCAAATGTTGCCTTGCAGTGTCAATTTCTAGTTTATCTTCTACATCTGGATTCAGACACTCCATTGCAGTTTCCGTTTTTTGTTCTGTTTTATGCAATGCAATGTTTGTTTCTGGTTTTGCTTTTACATTTGGATTCAAACTCTGCAATGCAATGCAATGTCTGTTTCTGATTATGATTTTATACGCGATTCAAACTCTGCAATGCAGTATTTATTTTTGTAGTTATAATTTCTTATGGATTGTTTTCAAGTTTCCAAGAGATGCAAACATTGTCTTCCACCATTCCAAAATCAAATTCAACTACAAAATTATATAGCAAAGTTGGCCTAAAATCTAAAGCACGAGTTTTGCAAGTTTGATCCACTGCTCAATTTCACCCGCAACCTCCTTCCATGGCGTCTTCTAAACCTCATCGATACCCAGGTTGAACTTCTATGACCCTAGCCTAGACAAGATTTCTTCAAGAAACACTCTCCAACGTTTGATTGTGAGCACTCCTTCCCAAAGCACGACACCACCATCCACTTCACGATCTTGTGGAGATCGTTGATTGTTTTAGAAGGAATCATGTCAATCACAATGTTGTAGTTCACTAATCGACGGAGCCGTTGGGATTTAGTGCTACTCACCATCACCAACGACCTCTTCTTCTTCTTCGTTGGAGAGAATATGAGAGAGAGGGGGGAGGAGAGAAGGACAGGAGAAAGTGAAGGGAGAGAATGGAAGAGAGACATGAGAGAAAGTCAAGAGAGAAGGGAGCATATAAGGACAAGAGAGAGGGGAGGAGAGAAGGATAGCAATAAACTAAAGTAAAAGAAGAGTAAAATAATTATTTTCTAAAGGATAATGCTAGGGTGACCAAATTTCAAAACCAATTTTGCAAACTTAATGACGTGTCACCAATAGAAAATAAGCATGTTAATCAACACTTTAGTAACAATCCAAACATCAACAATCACATCATTTGGTTTACAAATTTGATCTCCCTAACATTACCCTTTTCTAACTAGCATAAACCCATATGGCATGCTTTATTTATTTATTTTTTTCTTTCAAAAGATAGACTTTATTGACCTATATATGGTTATGTCTAAAACATTAGAAAAGATTTTATTCACCTCTGGCTAAATAATCTTTATTTTATAAAATGTTTCACATAGGTAGGTCATTAACAAGTTATTAGTCACGGTATTTATCTTTTATAATATTGAAACAGATCTTAAATTCGATTTGCCATGTTTCCTAAAAGGCGCTAGGTCACTAATATTTCAACTACTTTCTACTTCTAGCTTCACATTTACCGCAGTTAATCATTTTTTGTTATCAAATGACTGATGTTTAGAAACTCCACTAGTTTTTTGTTACTCCTTTTTTGTAAATTTTGGTTATAATAAATTTTAGTTTATAACGACCTCTACTATCTAGTAGTTATTCAGTTTTAACCTTTCTCCTTTATATTTACTTTCCTTCCCCCGTTCATTTCTTCATCTTCTCTCTTTCCCTCAAAAACCCTAATAAGCTCTGACATTATTACAATAATAAACTCCTATTAATCATGGAAATTAGTAAAACAGCGCAGTGCTCCGTCATCGTTCCGCTGCTCCCGGTTTCACACAACCCTTTGATTTCAAACCCCTACCTACCGCAGCCAATTAGATCGAGATGGACATCGAAATTAATACTTGTCCACCGTGTTTTGTTACTTGGATTGGGGATTGTCACCTTGATATGCGTCGTCATGGCCACATCCCTCCTTCCACAACCCCCAAAATTCCGACTCAACTCGCTCTTCGTGTCCAAACTTAACGTCTCAAGAGGAATGCTATGTGCCAACTTTGACGTAACCTTCACAATAGAGAACCTTAATCTGGTTTCATGGGTGCACTTCAACCGCTTAGATGGTTCAATTTTGTACAAAGATAACGCTATCCTGACGTACTCGTTGGAGCCATTTGTACTGGGATTGAAGCAACAAAGAACCATGAGCGTAAAGATATTGACGACGGGGCTACAAGATGTTGGTCAACCGATTGTGAAGGAGGGGGTGTTGGACGAGATCAAAAGGCAAAGGGAAGACGGGGCTGTGGATTTAAGCATGGAAATGTTTGCTTGGGCGACGTACAAGACCGGTTGGTCGACGCGGTCTGTTATAATGAAACCTCAATGTTTGGATTTGAGGGTTGGCTTCTTGCCTAAAGTTGGGTTTGGTAGCTGGATTAGTGGAGGACCTATGACGTGCTCAGTTCCCATGCCAATTGACTAAATCAGACTTTTCTTAATCAAATAGCCTAATTAGGTTTTATCTTTTTCATTTTTTTTAAGGTGGCACAAGCAGGGAGCCCAGATTTAGCTTTTAAATTGGAGGGTGCAATGTAATAGTTCGATGCAGAATTAAGGATCTTGCAATTGCAAATTAATCAATTGGGATGAAGCCTTATTTTCTTCTTATTTGGAACCTGTAACCAAGCATGAGTAGAAGCATATGAATAGAGGCGCACGACACGACACGACACCAACAACAACAATCAAAGCAAACTCAAATAAGGACGTAAGAAATTAATAGCCACCATGCTATGTCCCTCGCAAAGCACAGCTGACTTTTTAGAATTGTTTTTTTTGGATAGTTTCTGCTTTCAAGCATGTTTTTTAGAATCACACAATTTTTTAATAAAAATACAATTGCTATATGGAGAAGTATTTAAGTGATTTTCTTCTAAAAAGTACTTTCACGTGATTTTTTTACCCAAATAGGGCTTGTTTGAAATTTGTTACTCGAAGAGTTAAAATTTATTTTTTAGGTTGCAGATCCCTCCTTAACACTCAATGACTCACGCCTTTTGGCTCAACTAAATGCATAGAGTGCATGCCCCAACTGTCGCTTCAAATATATATGCGTATCGTCTACATGGGTTTTTTTGTTTCTCAAGTAACACGTACCACGTCCGGGGCATAGAACCTGTTCTGCTCCGACAAATCATGTACTGTCTAGTCCTCCTAATGCCTTGACAATTCCAGCATAAATCCGTGGAAACTCCTCTAGACTAGTCTCCTTGGAACTCACCATTCCAACTCCTCTTGGCTACTACCATATCACTTGCAAATACTTGTTTTGTTCGCTTACACCTCCTATCCTCAGGAGAAGCCATTCCAATTATTGGTCCCAAGTTAAATGGGTTTGGGTCTTCTTCTGCAGTTATGACAACATGCAATTCACTGAAACCCTGGCTGAAAACCCCAACAATGTGTTTTTTTACCCTTCAGAGTCTTTTTTTTGGTATCTACTTTTTATTCTCTTATTCTATAAAGCACATTTTCCTTTAAAAAAAAACAATATATATATATAACATATGAGCTAACACAAGCAGTGTTTCAAAACCATATATTTTCTCCTAGTTTTCTTGTCACTTAATAATATAGTCTAGCAATATTCCTCTTCACTTTTAAGTGAGAGATGTTAAATTCGAATCTCGTAAATGACGAATTCGATTTCAAATTATTATGACTGACTTATTGTCACTACTATAAGGGACTTGTGTGTAATTGTAGATACAAGGAAACTGGAAATAAATGAAGAACTTAAGAGATGGAGGTTTTAAGATTTAAAAGCTTGGGATCAGTTTTGTCTATTGAGTTGAGTGTCATTTGCTTCAGTTTGTCTTTCATTTTTATAGAATTCGAAGTCAACCTACTACGTCTCTGAAGTTCGCTGAATAATAACACGCTTGTACTATTGGATTTGATTGCTGACAACAAATTAGAGTAGGGTTGGGGCGGGGCTCAAGCATGTTTAACCATGTTTAGCTTTTGTCTTTGCTGCTTGAAATCTATCGCATTAATGACTTGTTTATTAATCCGTAATCGGAAAAACTGGAATTGAATTGAGGAGTTTACACACATATCAGTATCATACCTATCACACACATATTAAGCAATATATATCATGATTCGAAGTGTTCATATAATTAAGGCTTATAGAAATATGAAATCGAGATTGAGCTTAGGGTTACGTGGTTGGCGTGACCAAACTCCATAGCACAACGTCAGTGACTCCTCTCTTCAAGCTTAGAGATACACTCCGTGCTGATAATCTGTTGTAGTAAATGTTATTTAGAGAGAGAAAAAAAGATAGATGGAGAAAGGGCTCAGTTGTCTAGCTTGATTGATTTCCCTTTAGCCTTGTGTCTTATTTAGATAAATCATATAGGTTTTGGTTCCCCTCCAAGTAATACAAAGGGTGGTGCTATCCATACGGTCCATTTTACCTCCTACAAACTTCTTGTTAATTTTGTCCTTTGATTTTTCCATTCATTCAATCTCACAGCAGGAAATTAAAAGAGGTGTGTGATAGGTAAAAAGGGAGGTGTGGATAGCACCAAACATGCAAGGAAAGAATCCTCTACGTCCAGTAGGATTCCTACTCCTTGTTCACACATTCACATTTAGCTTAGAAATTCTAGTAGTTATTTTTTTCGTTATAAAATTCTAATAGTTATTCATTACTCTCTTTTAGCAAATGTCAGTTTGCAATACATTTCAAGTAATAACAACCACTACCTCAAATGGCGCATCTCTTCATTTTCATCTCTCTTTAGTTGTTATTCAGGTTATGTCAAACTTACTGTAGTAGTTATTCAATTTTATCTTCTCCCTTTTAAATTAACTTTCTTTCACCCATTTCTTCATTCCCATATCTCTCTCTTGCAAAAACCCTAACAAGAACTAATCATGGAAAATACTGCAAAAGCTCACCCCTCAGCCACAATGCCATTACTCCCAATTTCAAACAACTCTTCAAACCCCATTCTATCTCAGTCGATCACGTCACGTTGCATTGCGAAATTAATACTTGTCCACCGCGCTTTATTACTTGCATTAGGGACATTCACGTTGCTATGTGTGGTCATGTACACATCCATAATTCCAAATCCCCCAAAATTCGAATTGAATCACTTTTTGTGTCCAAGCTTAAAGTCTCAAACACATCACTTGGGGCAAATTGGGATGTAGCCTTCACAATAGAGAACCCAAATATTGTTTCGTGGGTTCGATTCAAGCACATAGAGGGTTCAATTTCATATGAAGATACTCTCTCTCGAAATTCCCTGTTGAGCCATTTGAATTGGGACTCAAGGAACATAGAAGGTTGCCGGTGAAAATTTCTACAACCGTGTCACACGAATGTCAACCGGCGAAGGAACGGATTTTTTAAGAGATCAAAAGGCAACATGAAGATGGTGCTATGAATTTTAACATGCATTTATTTGCATGGGCTACGTATAGTAATGGTTGGTGGCGAACATAAGATGTTACGATGGAGGCTCAATGTTTGGATTTAAGAGTTGGCTTCTTGCCTAAAGTTGGGTTGGGTAGCTGTATTACCGGAGGGCCAATGACTTACTCGACTGGTTCGCATGCTAGTTGATTAAATGTGATTTTTTTTAATTAGTACGAGGGTATAGTTTGAGATTGTACAATTTGATGGATGTTGAAGATTCTTGTAAATTAGGAACGTATCAAAGTTGAAGGTAAACTTTCTTTGATCTTTTCCATGTGTATACGTTGAAAGAATGTTACAAAGTGTCGTGGAAAAAAAAAGAGTAAATTATTGAACGTTTGAGCTATTACTTTAAACATACTTAACTAGAAACTAATTAAAACCGAGTTTCACCACACAAAGAAAACAAACATAAGATCCTTAAACGTACAAATTAACTTATTTTTAACTATAGTCTGTTAACGAATCTATTAACCGCTTGACTTTTGCGCTTTTGTGTACTCCACATAGACTAAACTTTTTCTTTTAGATCAAAAGAAAATTTGCGATAAACAATTAACTCATAATGTGCATAAGGTAGACATGCAAATGTAACCAAGAGGTAAACATGCCAAAAGAAGCACCACAATTTTACAATTAAAAATTCATCAAGGATATGATAATATAGTTCCTTAGCTATGTAGAACCCACTTCCAACCAACATGAAAGATGACACTCACTAAGACTAAACTTGCATGTTGTAGAACTACTCGCAAAGGTACCACAAGAAAAAACCACATCACCCTTAGATGATTTTAGGATTTTCGGCAAAAAAGCACGGCTATTAATTATAACTTCTACAAACATCGAGCTTCCTTGATCTTCCTCCTCATATATAGTTCTTTGTCGTGCGCACAAAGCCACAGGAAACACCAAAACTACCACACTCACAAGGAGGCTAATCAACTCTGAACACTAACATCGCTCAAAGATTCGAGTTTGAGCAGTAAGACATAGTCACTACAAAGATTCTCTTCAACAAATTGAGAGCAATTACAACCATGAAGACTCTTCTTGCCAAAGAGAAACTGTGGCCACTAAGAGATAGGAGTGGGTTTGGTACGGTTACCCTACCAAAACCCCTATACCAATTACCGAACCAAATTTTTGGTTTAGCAAAATCTATTACCATTACCGTGCCAAACTTTCAGTATATCGAATTTTGGTATGTCAAATAGTTCATTTTGCATTGTATGATAATGGTATTTGCTACTTTATTTTGGGCCACTTTTTTGGGCCAAAATCTTCTTCTTCTTCTTCTTCTTTTTTTTTCCAACCCAATTCAAGGGCAAAACTTTTTTGTGCCTTTATCTCATATATTGTGGCCTAAATTCATCAATTATTCATTATTCACAATTCACACACATATAATAAGTCAAATGGTGCATCAATGGAAATTAAGGTTACAATTCAAATAGAAGTTAAACCTTCAAACCAAATGAAATTGGAGTGGACCTAAAATTTAAAAAATAAAAATTTAATTGATCAATTCTTCAAACTTGAGTTGTAGAAGCGTTTGGAGGAGACATTGAACTTCTAGAAGATTGAGGTTGAGCTTGTGTCAAGCCTACATTATAAATAAGGAAAACATAATAGTAGCATTTAGAACAAGAATTAAAGTTGAATACCATTTAATATTATTTAAATAAATTATATATCTATATATATATATATTATTCATATATAAATAATATATATTTACATCTTTCGGTACGCTATGGTAATGCCATTGGTAATTGTATCGTGTACCAATACCGTATCATAGAATTTTAGTTCGGCACAATACCATACCATTATTGATTGACACAAAATCGGTAAGGTACGGTTGACAATTTGATTGTCATGGTAATTTGACAAAAAAAATCCACCCCTACTAAGAGATGAAGAATAGAGGAGAAAAGTTGAATGGATAGGAGGAAAGAGACCAAGAAGGATTGTTACTACTAACC